GTATTTTCCATGTATACTTTTCTTTAATTCAGAAGCATCACAGACATCTCTCTCAAGATGTCCTTGGACTTAAATTTATATTAGTTCTAGTAATTCAAATGAATAGTTGTAATCTACTTTAAATGCTTTTATTCTTTTTCCAAACTGCTACTGTTTGTTCCTTCATAGGGAACATCTTCAAGTGAGCCAAGGAAACTTCAGGGTACTAATATATGGCACTAGTTTTAGATGAAAATTGAGTATGTGATTGATTCCTGAACTCAGTCCAAGACTGTGAGGTTTTGTGAATCTCTCAAATTGTATTTTGGATTGCAGAACCAGGATGGAGTCTGCAAATCATTTTTCATCTGCTATGTTAGTTGGTGTAAAACTTTCCAAGTGAAAGATTAGGTGATCAAAACATGCTAGAGATTTTGATACATCTTAATGATAAAATTGCTACCTTGCATTTATGTACTGAACATCACTTTACCTGGATTTTTCAGTTCTCTATTTACAGAATTAGGGTGCTGAGTTCCAGTATATGTCAGGTGAGCATTTTAAAGATAGAGAATAAGTAAAAAATATTGTGTGACAGCAAAAGGGAAAAGTAGCCATTAGACAAGTAGGCAGAATGCTTTTCCTGCTGTCCTACAACTTTTTCCCAGCAAGTACATCACAAAGTCACAGAATAGTAATTATTGGACAGTACCTCTGAGATCACTAATTCAACCATTAAAAAACCAAAGCCAAAAGTATACAAAACCAAAACCAAAATAAACCAAACCAAACAAACACACACACACACACCCACAAACAAACAAACAAACCCACTAAAAAACCCAAACGAACAAACTACAATCATAGCCACTAGAGCATGCCCTGGAGTTCTGCATCTACACATTTCTTGAATACATCCAAGGATGGTGACTCAACATCCAAGGACGGAGACTCAAGTTCCTTTTTATCATAATTTTTTTATTAAACTAGTTATTCTTCAGATATTGAAAATAAACCCCATAGATAAAATTTAATATTATCATATCACCCTCATAACTCTTATTTTGATTAAATACCAAATGCTTAGACAACAATAATGTTGTCTCTATTTTACGTAATTGAAAATATGCAGGTCTTAAAATGCCTGATTAATTCTATAGGCACTAAAATTTCTGCTTTTATGTCCACATGAGTCTGTATTTCAGCAAAGTAGAGCAGTCTGATAGATGTGTTCCAGGTCAGCTCCTTTGGGGTCCTTGAATGAGTCATCTCTGCTTTCCTTACTCAATCCCTCTCTTCTTGTTCAGAATAAGTTCTGCATATCAATTAAAACAATGAGCTTCTCAGAAAACTGTGTTAAATTCTTTCCTTGAAATGAATAACTGGAAGAAGAGGATGTTCTGGGGAGACTCTTCCAGAGACTGCTGTTTACTTCTTCAGGAAATGGCAAAGGTTGGGTTTATGGCAGCCTGACCAGATAGAATCAGAGGAATCCTAGAGGTTGGAAGTGACCTCTGGAGGTCCCTGCTGAAGCAGGGCCACCTAGAGCCATTTGGCCAGGATCATATCCAGATGGGCCAGCTATGATGGACATCACACACCCACGGGAGCTGGACGTTCATGTTTGGCTGCTTGATGTGTCTGGAATCTGGTTGACAGTCCAGCTCCTAGATGTAATGGTGCCAGTGCAGGTTCAGACCTCTGCACAGTGTCATATTCTCCCCTCAAAAAGGACTATTATTTTCCCTGTTGCTTTCTAACTTACATGGTCAAGAAAAGCTGCCAGTGACCTCATTGATCATATTACCCAAGGCCAACATCTTGGACTCGCCTGTCCAAAGCCAATTAACTGTTGTTACCTGGGTTACTACCACTCTAACTATGTTACAGACATGTAAAACTGTTAAGAGTTTGTTCGAGCTGTTTTATTTCCTTTCTGTTCATATCTAAGCTATCAGGGGCAGGACCAAAATAATCCAGAGGTTTTGGGATCTCCGTGCTTTATTTGTTTTCCCAGCAAATGAAAGAATCACGTGATGAGTTACAGCTGGGCAGAGGTGACCTAAGTACCCCTTATGTGAGTGGTGCTTTCAAGCAGGCTTTATACCATGATAAACAACTGAAAAACTCAGGTAAAAAATCACTGGAAAACTGTTCTTTTTTCAACTGATTGTTGCTATGCATGATCTTAATGTAAAAATATTTAAAGTTCAGATCTTGTAGATTAATAGGCAAGAACCAGATAAGTAATGAAGCATCCCTAACAAAAAAAAAAAACAACAACAAACACACCACCACAAAAAAAAACAAAACAAAACAAAAAAAAAAAGTGAGAAAATTTTAACAGCAACATGCTTAATGATGGTATGTTTGCAACAATAAATTCTGGGGTCTTTATGTCTGTAGGGGTTGACAATTTTTTTACTTTTCATATAACCTCATAGTCTATTCCAACATACTGACTTGTATTCATAGTTTCATGTTTATCCATGCTTTTGTTATTATATCGTCTTCTGAATATCAGCTCAGTTGGGTGACCTTTTCATCCCAGCAAGAAGACTAATTCATTGTGTAATACAAAGTGAGTTAATATTTGAGTAATAGAGAAATATCTGTACTTCACTGTGAAGTAACATTGGATTTTAACCAAAAACAGTTTCAAGTGCTGAGGAGTGGAACAAATGGAATCAGAGAGATTGATTGTGCCAAGAATACAACTGATTCCATTCAGGCATCTTTTCCTGCTTAAAAAGTGTTTCCTAAGTTTTAATGGTTTTAACCTCTTATTTATATACAAACTTTGTTATCTCAATGCAGTTTTAGGGTCTTGGTTTTGTTTGTTTGGGTTTTTTTAAACTGTTCAATTTATCTATAATTAAGCCACATTTGTGTTTTACTTTTAGCCAGAATGTGTATAATATGAACGTGGTAGAAATAAGCATATTTTTTAAGCCCTTTCAAAGAAACATTGGAGGTAATGACTGATTTTTTTCTCCTAGAGTAAGCTTCAATCATTTTGCTGGCAGCTTTTTTGGACTCACAGATCTTGGAATCATGGAACCACGGAATGGTTTGGGTCAAAAGGGACCTTTAAAGATCATCTAGTTCCAACCCCTCTCCCATGGGCAGGGACAGATTTCACTAAAACAGGTTGCTCAAAGCCCCACCAACCTCATCTTGAACACTTCCAATGATGGAGCACCCATAGCTTCTCCAGGCAACCTGTTTAGGGTCTCACCACTCTCAGATTTGTTCCTTAAGTCAAATCTAAATCTACCCTCTTTCAGTTTAAAACCATTGCTCCTTGTACTGTCCCTGCAGGAAAAAGGCCCTCTCCATCTTTCTTATAAGTCTCTTTTTTATATTGAATGGCTGCTCTGGAGCCTTCCCTTCTCCAGGCTGAACAACCTAAAGTTTCTCAGCCTGTCTTCATAAGAGAGGTGCTCCAGCCCTCTAACAATCTTCATGGCCTTCCTCTGGACTCGCTGCATGTCTCTATGTCCTTCTTATTTTGGTGACCCCAGAACTGGACACACTACTCCAAGTAGGGTCTCATGAGAGCAGAGTAGAGGGGGAGAATCATCTCCCTCAACCTGCTGGCCACACATCTTTATATACAGCTCAGGATACAATTGGCTTTCTGCTCCTCAAGGGCACATTGCAAGGTCATGTCCAATTTTTACATCTACCAGTACCCCCAAGTCCTTCTCCACAAATCTGCTCTCAACACATTCATGACTCAGTCTGCATTGATATTGGGGATTGCCTTGACCTAGGTACAGGACCTTGTTGCTTCCCTCAAGCACATCAGATCTTAGCAGTGTCTTCCTTAAGGTAAACAAGTGACTTTACTTTTTGTCTCTATCTTAAATTTCCTTGCAAAAAATTCTTAAAGAACATTGAGAATTGCTCACAATTCCTGATGTGGAATCCTCATAAAAAGCAGCTTACTTTTAATTCAGTTTTATTCTGTCAGGACATAATTCTTAATATATGGCTTTAAAACAGACAGTAAAATACAAATCCTGTTTAAAGAAATACTTGAGCACAATAGTCAGTTAAGAAAGAACTGAGATGATTATCTTAAAAAGATTTTCAATCAAATCTAGTGATGTAAATAAGCACCTAACCTAAGCATTTCAAGTAGCAGCCAAGTATATGTTTTCCTAAGCGCAAATAGATGTTCATCACCTTAATCCAGAATTATACTTTCTTGTATCAAGATCAGCTTCAAATATTACACAACATTCTTTATTGCCCTGCCAAAATATTTGTGTTAGGAGTCCAAATACTTCCAAAGGGAAACCTCTTAACACAGATTACTCTTCTTCATTACCAAATGTCAGCAGTCACACAACATCACTTTGGTCTTTTCCAGATTTTTGCACTTTGACAAAACAAGTAAGAAATATGTATTTGTCAAATGAGAAATACGTATTCATCAGGTTGCTATAGATGTTGTAGGTTTTCTTCTATTTTAGCTATAGCAACCAGAGCCTAAATAATGCTGTTGCAAATATTTTTTGCAAATGTAGCTAAGATTCAATGAACTGACATGTAAAAAAATTTTGTACCTTGAAATCAATTGGAATTTGATGGATGAGGGCTTTTAATCTGAAGTAAATAGAAATGTTAATGAAACAGCTTTTTAGCTGTGTGGTGGTGGGAGAGTACAAGTCAAGCTTGCAAAATGAAGTCCAATTCTCTATCCAGAAGCACAGCTCAAGTCAAAAAGGAGGTGATTCACAACTGGATGAGAAAAACATCCTTCCATGTCTTGCTGCGATGTAAGCTGTGCTTATTTCAGACATGAAGCCACAGCTGTCTGTGGGGCTGGGAACTGGGTAACTGAGCTGTATGACTCAAAGTCTCCTCCTGCAGTCAGTTCTGTAGCACTGTGCACACAGAGGCTCTTTCCACCCTAATTTATCGTCTTCTTCATTGACAGGTTTCCTATGTAATAAACTGTTATCAAGCACTCTTTGTTGTTTGTTTTTTTTCCTCCCTTTTTTCTATCCTTCATGTGTTCAAAGAGTAGCCACAACTGCTTAGTTTCTTTTGTTTGTTGTTTGGTTCTGGCAGGTGAGAAGCCAGGGACGGAGCAAGATGAAGTTAAGCTGCAGAATGCCAGCAAGCAGATTGTGCAGACTGCTATCCTTCTAGCAGTACAGCAAGTTTCCCAGGAGAGCCAGCAAAAGGAGAAGCGGACAAACAGCAGCATGAGCCTCCAGCTGGAAAGAGGAAAATTGACCAAGAAGCATGAAAAAAAGTAAAGGAGCAGACTGGAGTTTGCAGTCCTGCAGTCTGCAGTGTTTTCAGCCTTCTCTTTAGTATCAGCTGTATTGCTAGTGCAATGTTACTGTTGTAAAGCAAACCAAAGTATAATCACACCTAGACATAGGGTAAAGCTGCAATAGTCCTCAGCTGAGAAATGTTAAGTGCATTAGATGACTAGCTCCATATTTATACAGTGCCTCTTAACAGAAACAATAACCCTAGCTGTAACAGTAGTTCCAAGCACAAGCTTTTATGGTATGGACTTACTCTGAAAAGCTTGTTGTCATCGCACTTTCATGCAAGTTCCATGTGCATCGTTTATGTCAGCTCAGCTGGACGGGTTCTTGTCTGAGTTGCTGGGTTCACTGAAGCTGTCCTCACTGGAAAAATAGTTTACTGTTCAGTGTAGCAGAATGTGTTCAGGCTGCCTTGAAGCATGAGTTTGTACTTTGCTTTGATTAAGCATGTACTATATTAAACGGCAGTATAAAGTGGATTGGGTAAGTTCTGTGAACCAATTTCATTTTTCACCTTGGGGGAAAAAAAAAGCCATCCAGTAAGACTGCAGTGACTGTGATCTATTGAACTATGATTGTGATCACAGACCTGTGATCAATATCTTTTTTTAAAGAAATTGAAAGAAGTACTGAAATTTTAGTCTACTTATTTGAAATACTTCTATACTTCTGCATAATAATCACTTGTGCCTCAACTATTCCTTTTAATTATTTTTGATACTGAAAGAAGAGGAACTGATGTGCTGATATGGAGTTTGCCAGCTTTTCCCTCAGTTGTGCAATTTGTTTTACAGAATTGTTTTACAGAAAGTGAAGACTGGAGCAGCTTAAAAAAAGTGTTTGAGTTTATTTATATCTTGAGGGATGGAAATATACTGTGTCTGAATTCTATCATAGTAGATATTTCTCACCTACTGGGCATAAAGTGACTTTAGATATTTGTTACATAGAGTCACCTTAAATAGCACTACTTTAAGAGGTAATATGGGACTTATTCCTTAGCTGCTCTGTATAGCTGAAGAAATCCATGATGTTTCTAAAAATACAAATTAAATAAATGTAGCTTTCACTTTTATGATCCCTACTGTAATGATGATTGCACTATTATACATCTGAAATTAATAACAGTATATTTAATTCTAGACATGGTTTGTAAGTCTGTTTCAACTGAATTCTTGTAGTAATACATCTACCTAGAAATATAGGGAAGCAGATGCACAAGATCTGCAAACAAAGAGACAAAATGTCATGGTTGCATTTCTACTCAGTTGATTCTCAAAGAGACTTTCTGGTTGAAGTAATTGACTATTCCTTACTGTTTCCTACTGCTTGCATTGAACAATTTCAGGATCCTTTCTCACAGCAAGAGGCTTAGTCATGAATAGCCACATATTGTAGTATTAAACCTTTGAAATCTGCTTGGTTCAACTTCGGTTTTTTGTTGGTGGTCATTTTTTTTTTTTTTTGGTTGGTTGGTTGTTTTTAATTTAACAGCACTGACTCATACCAGCTAATGATTTAGTTCAATCTTGTTTCACTTAAATGTGAAGATGAATTCAGCATGATTGAAGTTGTTCTGAATCCTGTAATAATGAAAACTGACTTAGTATGCAGTTGCTTCACTTCTATAGACACTCGTTTAATTTTTCAAGCCAAGAAAACTTTGAAAGATGGAAGTAGTTTGGTCTTTTTGTCATAATAGACAATGTGTTTTTTTTAACCATTAGCTTTTTCATCAGTTGACCTTTGGTAGGGGGGTAGCTCTTTTCTAAGCACTCTTGTATATTAATTTTCTGAGAACCTAAGAAAACTGACCATGAGCAAAGGTTCAGTTCTGAGGCTGATGGCCAGGTGAGTGAGTCTAATGGGTGAGGGAGAGCAAGCCTGTTGGAGAGACCCTGTGTTGTAAAACAGTGTCTGCCATGGACTCACCTAAAGTATTCTAGGAAAGAGCACTATAGGACAGAAAAAAAAATAATATTTGGGAGTATTATTACATTTTTTTAATGCTTATTGTCCCCAGGAATTTACAACATGTCTTTTTATGTTCCTGGTAATTATTTTAATAAGCTTAGTGTCATCTGGAAGCTTCTTTGCATGTCCAATTTATTTTTAATCATAATTTTATAGAAATAAATTTCAAAAGTGGGACTTATCCCTCTGCTTCATATGAACCTATTCCACTCCTTCTCTCACTGTGCTCTTCTACAATATTCCTTCACTGTCGTAACCCTTTGAGACATAGTATTATTCAACCATTAAATAATATCCATCATTTTCAGTGCTGTCAGGAGTCTAATACCTTGGAAAGATAAAAATAGTAGAAAACCTAACAAAGCCTTGAAGGAGTCTTTGATGGTCTCCTATCAAGGAAAAACAAGTACTGTAGGTTAAATGAAATTTCCCGAGATTCAAATAATGTGTGTCTTATCTATAGTATATATCCCTAAATTAAGGCATGCATTTAGTACTTCCGAATGATAAAGGGAACGGACTTCCACTCTTATGTAAGTGCACAGCACTTACAGCTGGGATATGTAGTTGAGATCTGTACCACATGTCAGAGAATGACACAAGAGAAAACTACCATTGGCTTGTTATATGCTTACTACATGGTGAAAATGGATATTTTTGGTCTATTGACTGGCAGATTATATTTTCTGAAGAAAATGCGGACTATAGAAATTGTTACGGATGTGATGCAGGTCTGATTACAAATAAAGAAACTCTTAAAGAAACTCCTGATACCTTACATGTCTGTGGTTTCTCTTGTCAAAAGAAGGGCAGCAGTTTTCAGATTGAATAGACAAGCAATGAAGCAAACAATGTGCTCATGAGTTTTGTAGTAAAGAATGCATTATTCAGCACAGTAATTAGTATCTTGAAGGTAAAAGACAATCAAAATGGTATCTGTATGTATTTAAAATGAACTCACCACCTTTAATCACTTATCGGTGGAAAGCAGAAGGCTGCACAAACATATGAAAGGACATCTATCACAAGTCCTTTCATGAAGAAGAACTGTGTGTCTCTGGCTATTCTGCACTGTGCTTGCTGTGTTTTCAATCAGGTTGATGATTGCAATTTTGTTACCATAATTGTGCTAGTCTTTGCAGTGCAATCATG